CCAGAGCCACCGCAGTCGGCGAAAGAAGCGAAACCACAGCAACAACTTATCGCCATCCTCATCAACTTTATGAATGAATCTGTCATATTATTTCGGCAATGATGTTGACAACAACAACGGTAGTATCCCCGTTTATAGCTTCGAAATATCCCCCTGTGTGCAATATTTATCATGTCACATAATATTTTTCTGGCATTTGCACGTCACCTCCACATTCCACCCTCCACCCCTTAGAACTTTGGTGTGTCTACTTCTACTTCTGCGCTCCCTTAAATTTTGGGCTTAAGCAGCTGATACGCACACACACACACACGCAGGAAGGTCCTGAAATCACAACCCCTTCGCTAACCAAACGATGTGGGCGGCGGATCGGGATTTGAGGGTGGGGCAGCGGTTGGTTGCCAGCCATCAATTGCAGCCATCAACCACCGCCGTCAGGGCGTCTGCCTGCCGCTATCGCTGGAAAACTCCAAGAGCCCGCTACACTGGGAAAAAGTCCTTAAACCTTTACTTCCGCTCACAAAATTTATAGATTAAATAAATATCATTCACACTCCCTAACCCAAGGATATCATAGAGTTCTTAAGGGATTTGAGAGAAGAGCATCGTACAAAGGCCTGAAACATTTACTTCCTTATATAGAACTTATAAAAAAAATATCATTCAAATTTTCAAAACAAGGATTTTTTGATTTCTCAAGGATTTGAAAGAAGAGCATTGTACAAACTTATATTTTAAAAAATAAAAAAAAAATTTATCAATTTATTATCATACAAAATTTGTTAGAAAAGCAGGTATATTTTAAACCAATTTTAGACATTACATATCAGCCTTTTTTAAATTAATTTATAATTTAAAATCATCACCCTTTAACCACAATTCATCATTAAGAAACAACTTTAAAACACAAAAAAAAGACTAAAAAAATAATAAATCTTCATTCTTGTTCCGAAACTGACTTTTGGTAATTTATTTAAATTATTAATAAAATTAAAACTTATGCATAAATTTAATAGAATCTTCAAAAAATATTCTAATATATATCATATTATCCTTAAATCGTTAAAGAATTTCTAAAACCTCAGTGTAGCTCAACCAAAACGAGTACTCATACCACCCAATGCTGCTCATTGAATTTTCTGCTGATTTCATTTCGACTTCTTTTGCTCCGCTGGGAACAAACTTAAAGTGAGTGTGGGTGGGTGGGTTTTTTGGGTGGGCAGGAGGAAGGAGTGGGTGGGCTTGGGGTGGCTGATTGTTGTAGTCCCAGCTTCTGTTTTGCCTGTAAATATTTTTGGCAATTGTCGCTTCCCCTTTCCCCCTCGATTTCCCCTGAGGGCAAATTAATGATGTCTTCCCTCTTGGTCCCAAAATGGAAATTACTTATAAATTGCTCTAGCTGTTGTTGTTGTTTTCTCACACTATTTAGACAAATTATTAACCCAATCACTGGATATATAGTATATATGCAAACTAAAGTGTTAACAGGAAGTCATCATTTTAAAATGACGTTAATGAAATGAAGTTCACTTTAATGGATGAAATGTCTGCCCTATTGTAACTATATTTAAAAATGTATGTTTGAAATGAATACCCATAAAGTGCACCCCCAAAAAATGAATATTCAATGTATCATTTTAAATTAAAAAGCAAGGTAATTTAAAATAATGTTTTGCATTTTGTACATTAAAATCAGTCATCTAGTGACTAACAAATTGTAAAAACGCAGTCTTCAATTTTAAAAACAGTCTTCAATTTTAGCTTTAGCTTGGGACATAAATGGTTGCAGATAACTTGGGCTACGTTTCTTAAACTACGGTTAACTTCCAAGATCTTATTCATGGCTAACTCTGAAAGCCGGTTTGTCGTCCAAGTGTCCGCCACTCAGGAGTTGCCCTCAGAATTTTCATCCATCAACACCTGAGCAGAAAGGCAGTCCCCAACCCCAAAAGCTGGAAAGGAATGGCGCCAAGTGCCGAGGACGTCGGACCGCACTTGAGGCGATCCAGAGAAGCGGAACGAGCGGAAGAAGGAGCGGCAGCTGGCCAAGTACCGCGCCGCCATCATCGACATCAGCGTCGTCGTCGTCGTCGTTCTTCCTCGCAACACTCTCAATTAAAATGTCCTCGCTTGGTAAGCGTGAGCGTTCAAGAGGCCATGAAAACTCCTTATTACACGGTGTCAGCGGACCGGTCACACTGAAATTTTTATTTTATTTAACAAGAAAAATAACATTTATTTTTAAAAATACATGCCAGAACAAATTTTGTTATTGGTACAATTGTGAAATACAAAACTGGCAAATGTCAATACCACTGACACGCAGAGACTCTTCAAATTCGCGCACTCCTTTTATTTTAATTAATACACATTTACTTATGTACTTTAAGCTTTAAAGATTTGGCTCTTATAATTTAAAAAATATTTTTTAATTTTTATTTATCTTGGATGTTTTGTGATTATAACCAATTACTTACAAAGCTTAATAGAATATTAAAAAATTCGTTTTTAGCGAGTCATAACTTTGAGGAAAGTATCATAGATTTTTGTAGCGATTGTTAAACTTACAAGGGATATTTTGTGGCAAGCAGTAAGAACAATTTTACTAAAAAATGTATTTAATTAGAAGATTTATTTTTTTCTAGTGCAAGGACACAGCAGAACCCAACCCACGCGACGACATGCCCAAGCTTAGCCCGCACCACAGTCGCAAACCGCTTCTAACCCGAACCCGCGAGGGTTCTTGGCACCTACGTGTTAATAACGCGAAATGCAGTGAAATTTTTGTATTTTCAAGCACGCACTCGAGTGTGCCACGCCCCGCAGTCCTTGCCGCCCCCCGTCCATCCATCCGACTTGAAACAGAAACCCTCCACGAGGCAAAAGTAGAAAATAAAAATTGCTGCAAACCAGAAATCATTGAGTGAGTTGGCAACACTTGGTGGCCAAAAAGGAGATTTCTATGTGGGAAAGAGGGGGTAGTTTTTTTTATTTTTACGGAAAGGGATGGCGACTAAAAAACACTTTAAAGAAAGCAAAAATTCGGTTTTAATTTTCTGTTTCTTTTTTCTGAAATCCGAAACACTTCAAATATTTGGCGAGAAGAAAGCCAAGCCAAAATGTTGGGACAAGTTGACGCCAAGCGAAGCGAATGCGAGAAAATGGACATGGGAAATTTTAAACCCACTTGCCAGCTGCCTAAAGGGCAGCACTTAAAAGGACCTCCCCCAACTTTGTCCCCAGGCCATGTTTACTTTTGCAATATTGACACGAAAATATTTACACAAAAATACAAATCGCGACCGTGCTTTCGTTCTCCTTCTCCTTAGAAGGCAAACATTGAAATTACTTGCAGTTTAGAATACCCTATTAGGGGGTATCCAAAAATAAATCCAATTTTTATGAACGCCAATAATTGTTTTATAAAATTTTCTACTTGAAAATGAAAATTAATTTTTAACAAGGTTTTTAAGACCATAAATCAAATTTAATAATATATTGGATACAACATTTCAAACTCTCATCATATTTAAAAAATATGTTTCTTTATAACCAATAAACTTTATTGTTAAAAACTTTAAACTTTAAACTTTTTTATTTCTCAAAAGAATTTCCAAAATGTGATAAAAAAAAAAAATTTATTAAGCATGTATTTTTTTCATTTACTTAACATGGTATTTAAAAGATAACAAAGTTTTTTTTTTAATCAAATTGTACATCAATTTTACAATTCTTTCAGACATGTTTTACTCGACAATAAATTGAATTTCCCTTGACTCCAAACAGTGTTTCCATCTTCGGTGCTTCCCATTTAGCCAAGTATTCTTGTATTTTTTGTGTCTTGTGTTGTGTCTGCTTGTCGTCTACAATTTCCACATGTGGCCTTTCCTTGAAAGGCTTTTTGCTGGGGAAAAGTTTTCGCTGCAGCTGGAGGGCACCAATAAACGTCAGACGCGTGTCAGGGCGCGTCCTTTGTATCCTGACACCTCTATGGCTGATTTGATCCGAACTTTGGAGAACTTCGAGGGCGACGAGGCTACAGGTGAACAGGATGTACTTGGCCACTATGTGGCTGCCACCTTCGATTGGGCAAATCGGAAAGGTTAGCCGTGGGAAATGCTGCGATTCAAGTGGTTGAGATTACGGCAAGAACAACTGGAAACAAAGAAATTTAGATATGTTGACTAAGTAATTTTATTGTCTCAAAATTGTTTTTGTTTGCTCACTCTTATTTAAATGACGATTTTCTTTTTATCTATTCAAGGATTAAACAAGTAAATCAATTTTAAATTAACTCAAGCAGATGTTTTGCGTTCCTGTCTTCCTTAAATATTTGTTCCATTTTTCGTTCACCATCTTTATTTATTTCAACTCCAATGAGCTGTCCATAGCTCAAAACAAATAAGTAACATTTGTAAACGGAAAACAACAATTATTTAGATATACACTTTTTATAATCGAAAATACAATTTTTGTTAAAAAAATTTTCGTAAATTTTAGAAAAAAATGTATGGTTAAGCTTTAAGGTACATCTCTAAAAAATTGTACTAACCTAATTTGGAATGTATTGCACTTTATAAAATTCATATTTCTATAAATTTCATTTATTATAAAAAACTTAACGAAACAGTGATTTAATTATTTAATTAACAATGTTAATGGCCCGCTTTGCAGATTAAATGCGCTGTTGCTGCGCAATATAAACAGTTTTTCACCAATTCTTATCAGACGACAGATAATCAAACTCACACGCGCAGAATTAAGAAAAAAAATAAATCTCTTTGACTAATACAATTAAACTGATAACTTAACTAAATCAAACATGTCGCCCGGCAGAAAACACCCACTGAAAAATGTGTGACCCCTTTTTGGCATGTGGTCATGGTGCGACTCAATTCCAAATCCCCTCGTTTTCTTGGGCTCGAAGCTCTGTAAAGAGCTGTGAATCTAGAACTGAAAACTTATGTCAGCGGCACGCGTCGCCGGCACGTGACCCCGACATGAAAATCACGCTCAAGATCGCTGAAGATGGCAAATGGATAGGTCTGATGGTGGCGAAGGCTCTAAGTGGGAGTGCAAATCGTGGAGGTGATGAGTGCCTGTGTGCAGATGCTTTTAAATTTAAATCGAATCAAATTGATTTGCTTACAGTTCCAGTTTCACTTTTTTATTCACGCCGTGGCTACACTCGAAAAAGAACATTAGCTAGAATATGGGAAACAGAACACAAGTAAAAATTCAAACTAATGTTAAATAAAATATATTGGTTTCTGACATTACCGATGAAAACTAGTTTGGTTCTTTCATCTTTGTTTTAATACATTTTTCAAACTATGATCTATAATCTGTTTCGGGTTTTCTTATTAAAAACATAGTTAAAAATAATTAAAACTAAAAATGAATAATAAGAATTAAAAGTCTTACAGTAGTGTCACTAAGCAGCTTTTTTTTCCTAGCTATTAAAAAAATTAATGTGAATGCTACATAATTTTTAATTAGTGAAAACTTTATAACAGTTTTGTCAAATTTGTTTATTTTGGGCTTTTAGTTTAATAATAACAAATTTATTATTATAGTAGTACAATAAGTATTTATATATTATAATGAAAATCACTTGTTCCGTGTATATATATAAAAAAATTAAACTTAAAATAACAAGTGATGTTAAGTTTTTGTTTAAGTTCTTATTATAAGCCATTTCTTTAATTTAATTGTTTTGAAAAATTCCCGTTTGCTTCTTTTTAAAGACTAACAAATATGACATAATTTACTATTTCCAGCACATGTTTAAATATTGGCTGAAAATTTAAAGTTGGCCGACCGTCAACTAGTTTGTTGAGTGTAGTATCAATTGGAACGCCCCTTTCAAAAATTGGGCAAAAAACTGAGGGCAGCCAAGAGAGCGCAGGGCCCTGTCCACGTTCTAGCTCGTTGTTTAGCCATTTGACAAGTGTTTTGACAATATTTATTTGAGTTGCTACAACCCACACCCACAGCCCCGCCCCCTGCGGCATGCCAGCCCCTCCCGCCCACATTCGAGCCACTGCCGCTGGGTAATTTGATTTCCTCGACGCTACCATCATCTGCATCCTTGACGTCGGACACGTTTCTGCCTAATGGAGTTGCTCGAGTGGCGTGAATTTCAATTAAATTAAATCAAAATGTTGCATTTTTTATTAAGGCCATTAGCAGCACACACGCAACCTCCCGCCCCGAGGTTCTCCCCTCTCCAACCCCCCTGGTGCCTAGTTGGTTAAATTAAGTTAAGATACCACCTCGCCCGAGTTAAAAGAACTTGTATCTTAATGTGCATAATGAAGTGCCAGACTTGACTTGCCATGCACCACCTGCTTGTGCTAATGCGAATCCGGTGGGTGGTTGGATCCCACAGATGGGAGGGAAAGTTATTGAAAATGTCCCATTTTTCACTCGCAAATATCTGATAAGTGCAAATAAATTGAATATATTTTTTTTCTTTAATTGGAATACAATATTACTATAAAGAGTTAGAATACGGAAAGTATAAAAAGTCCAGTCAACTAAATTTAAATAAATTTATCTAAAGATAATCTTGAATACAAAATTCGGTTAAAATCAAATTGTAAGCTGTAACAAAATCACCCAGAATATATGTTGGTACATTATTTTAAGCTCAGAGTTTTAAATTTAATACTATTACATTTCAGGTAGAGAAGAAAAACTGTTTCTGAGGAAAGCGAATAATTAAGACGGCCAGAGTGGGTGTGTCGAATAAAGGTGGAGTGGGGTTTTTCCTATTGTTACATGTGCATTAAAAGTAATGCTGCAGTGCTCAGAAAATTCTGGAAAAAGGGAGAGAATGCTACTTTGAGTGGCAATAAACAATGCATAATGAGTTGAGAGTCTCGTTATTATTGTTGTCGCCCGCGGCTGAGACCATGCATTAGTCAAACAGGTAATTTAAATTAAACCAAAACAATATGCAGAGGTGGCATTTAAGAAAGGTGCGAAACGCATTTTGCCATTAGGAAATTGCAAATTAAGATGCAAACACTTCAGGCCCAACCATTATTGTTGCAACTCGCGACATTTTATTTTATAAAGAATACGAAGGGAAGCTAAAGTATATATGCCGTTTTGTCATTAAATAACCAAAATGGTATTAATACTATATTATTTTATTTTAATTATAATAATTACCCAGAATTTCAAACATTAAATGTGTTTTTTTGTCTTTATAACATACATATATAAGAATAACTTCCAAAAAGATTATCGACGGCAAACAAAATCTGGCCAGACTACACCTAATATAAAAAATTTTTATTTCTTAAGAAGAAAACAACAAATATCATCTGCTTTGGATGACAATATTTGATAAGCTTTCCGTTGAACAAATTTTGTTTTTCATATTTAGTTGATTCGGATCGCTACGCTGAGTATGTCTTTTGTATTTCTGCTATCTCTGTTTGTCTCAGTATTTTGCCAAGATGGATTGGCACAGCTCCTCGACGAAAATTGCGACATCCCCAAGGACCTAAGAATATTTTTTGGAAATAACGCACGTGTGGGAACCACTCCTTGGATAGCAGTTATAAGCAATATTACCGATGATTTTTGCGGCGGCTCACTCATACACCCACGTTCGTATAATTATATTTAGTCAACAATTACTCAACAATAATATATCTAATAATGATTAATTTAAACTTTATTCGTATCAATCAATTCCGCTTATTAGGCTGCTCTAATGGAAATAAATATATATATTTAAATACTATTCAAAAATGTATGGTGTGTATGCTTATCCCTTTTGAAATTGATTTTTTTCCAGGGTTCGTCTTAACCGCCGCCCACTGCATTCTCAAAAATCAACAATTGTAATTATCTCTCCAAAATTTTTTAGAATTATTCTAATACATTCATTTCTTAGGTTTGTGAGATTGGGAGTGTACGACAAATACTGCCCACCATCGCGTTGCCCAGAGGTGGAGAATTATAATGTGACCAAGGGCATACCTCATCAACAATACAACCATTTTGAAAGGACGAACGATATAGGTATTTTGAAACTGGACAGACAAGTGGTGTACAAAAGTATGTTGGAAAGAAAAAACGGAAATGAAGCGGAATATAGATAGTGTAATTTGTCAATAACAATTTTCTATTTCCTATAGACGCCATCCGTCCGCTTTGCATTGTTTTGAGTGACGAATATAACCCGTCTTCAATCGTTAATTTCTCGGTCTACGGCTGGGGTATAACGGATAAAGGATCACCAAGCTCAGTCCTTCAGACCATCAATCTTTCCCGTAGGCGATTGTGCTTTGGGAGCACTTTAAAACGAGAATCGCAGATCTGCGCTGGTGCCCCAAAAGGCGACACTTGCAGAGGTGACTCAGGTGGTCCTCTGGTAGCCAATATAACATATCAGGGATATCGCTTCCTTTCACAGATTGGGATAGTCAGTTTTGGCGGTCCCGAGTGCAATTCTAATGCCATTTACACAAATATTAATAGCTACAAGCATTGGATAAACTATACCATTTTGGATAACGATTACGATCAGGATCAGGAAAGCTTGTTGGATGAGAACTGCAGCAACACGCGGCTAAAACATGGATCTATCCGCCAGCCCTGGAAAGTAAAAATAATTCCTAGCTTTGCTAATGGCGCCCTCATCACAAATCGTAATTATTTTCAATGGTAAACTTAATATTCAATAATATTTTAATTTACGTTTTCTAGGCTTTGTTGTTACTATTGCAAGTGCTTTGCCCACAAATGTCCGGAAAATGTAAGTAGCAATTAACAAATAAAAAAAATCAACCTATTTGAAATCATTATTGACATCTTTCGAAGTTATAATTTGTGTGCGTGGATCGTAAAATGGACTTATGATCTTTATACAAATGCGTAGACGCAATCTGATCTATTTGGACCTTGGGGTCAAAAATAATCAAGAGTATTGAAATGTATTGAAGTGTGTTCTCTCTTCAACTCAAACTAAAGTAAAGTAGTTTTTTTTTGTTAGGTAAGAATATATACTAAAACTTGTACTGTTTTGATGATAAACAATATAAGCCGATTTCGCATCGGTATACTAAACTGTCAAGCATAGAAAGAAAGAATCATATAAGATAATTATTAAAAATGTATTTACAATTTGTTCTTTTAATTTTTGATGCAGTGAAGTTCAAGCGGTCGGCGGTGACAGCTTTTTCGTTAAGTCTGTACACAAGCATCCCCAATTTCACTTGACGCACTTGAGTTTCGCAAATAATATAGCTTTGCTTGAACTTGATCGAAGTGCGATTTATTCTGGTAAGTTTATTTATTTTTCCAACTTCATTTCTTTTTAACTTTCGTTACCTTGCTTCAGACATTTTAGCACCGATCTGCTTCCGCCCAAATCTGCAGAAGTTGGAAAACCCACCAACATCGCTTACCGCCATTATCCGTTCTTGGGAAAATGTGATGCTTAAATATGAGAACTTAACCGTCATTGATCGTTACCGTTGCTCTAATATCATTGGATATCCCGTATTTGACAATCAAATCTGTCTGAATGAATCCTCCTCCAATTTATTTTCAGATGGTGAAGTATTTGGTACCAACGAATATACGTCGTTGGGCGACAAGTTCTTTCTCTACGGCATTATGAGCTATAAGCGGAACGGTGTTGTCATTCTTACAAATATTAAATATTACGCGGGTTGGATAGCGGAAACCTTAAATTTTAAAAAATAAAATAAAATACTCAGAGAAAATGACATATTCGACTTTAATTTTTTTACTAATACATAGTATGCTTGATTTAATTATACATACTTAAAATGTAAGTAAAAATTTTGGATTTACATAAAGACTTACAATTCCACTGTAATTTTAATATGAAAATTGTACAACAAAATTTAAATAAAATAAAAAAAAAATAAAAAAACATTTATATGAATTATTCTTTTAATCACTTATACACCGGAGAAAACGGGTCTATTTGTAGAACTAGGGTCAAGCTCGATAACATCGTAAATCGTAGGACTTAAAACTCTATGATACAATTACTAAATTTCATTTTAAAAAAATTTAATTAGTTACAAACGCATCTTAATTAGAATTTTATGTCACAAAATATATTAAAACATTTAATTAAAATTAACAAGGAAATATTTAAATTCCAATATTTTAAATTTCTAATCTTTATTGGAACTCAAGATTTTACCTTAGTTAATAAAAGTAAATCAATAATAAACAATTTAATTTAATGTTAATTGTAATTTTATTTTAATAACATTTTTTAAAAAATACTGTTTAATAATCCCATAACCTTGTTTTTATTTGAAAATTTTGTTTGAAGATTAAGACTTAGTTTTCTTAAAAATATTTGCTTTAAACTTTAATAAATACACAAAAACATATATATTATAGGAATTTTTAATAAAAATTAATCATCGGATATTTTTCCAAAACTTGGCTTTTCCACAGACTTTAACATACAAGATTTTTAATTAGCCATTAAAATTTATTATCAGGGGGTGACATTAACCTTTGAATCAATTGTGCCATTTTTTCAAATTTGCGAGCTATTGATAAGCCTCCCTATAAGCTCCCGTTTCAAAAAATTGGCGATTGCATTTAGTAATTTAAAATCTGTTCTCTAGGAATGACGTCTTTTGTGGTTTTCTTAGGACTGTTTGTCTTGGTATTCTGCCAGGATGAAATGCTGGATAGTAACTGTGACCTTAAGCTTCAAAGCAGAATAACTTCAGGAACTGATGCACGCCCGGGAACTACTCCTTGGATGACAGCCATTAGCAATAGCACTAATTTTATTTGCGGAGGCACGCTCGTTCATCCACGTACGTACACTTATTTTATAGTAATCTGGCAATCGTTTAATCGCATTCTTTCCAGGTTTTGTCTTGACAGCCGCCCACTGCATTTTAGAAAATCAACAATTGTAAGTACCCTGCCGACGCAGAAAAAACTGTTTGTCTAATTGTTTTCGCTTAGATTGGTCAGTTTAGGGATGTACAACATGTCCTGCCCAGAAGACAAGTGCCCAGAAATATTAAATTATAATGTGATTAACGCCATATCTCATCCCCATTATAACAACTTAACCAATGAAAATGATATCGCTATTTTGAAATTGCACGATCAAGTGGTTTACAATGGTAAGCTAATAATAACCATTGGAAAATATATAACCTTTCTTATAAGCACTTAGAATAAGTATATATTCTGAGGATTTTTTGCATTACTATTTTTTAATTTATTTGTTTTATTACTCTATAAATCCTTAAATACACAATAATATTTTTTTGTAGAATTGAATCGGTAAAAATAGTAAAAAAAATTTAAACATTACCCGTGCTAAAATAAGCATTCCATTAATATATAAATTTCATTGATTTTTTAACCTTTTATCGGCCTAGCTTTTTATGGGTTAAAAAAATGTAATTTTAAAATTTGTTTGTTTTATATTAAATTTCAAATTTCTTAAGCCCTAGCATAGTACATACTTGATTATTTAATGCAATTGAATTTCAGTTTTAATAGCTTAAAAAATTCCGTATTTGTAAGATAAGATCGTTCAATGTGGAATAATACTTTCTTGAAATTGTTTTAATGTTGTCGATTAGAATGGATCCGTTCGATCTGCATTGTCACTGGTGACGGGCTAAACACGTCGTCAATCGTAAATTTCTCGGCCTATGGCTGGGGTAAAACGGAAAAACAAAACTTAAGCTCAATCCTTCAGACCATCAATCTTTCCCAAAAAAAAACTTGCTTGAAGTTTAACGGGGAATCGCAGATCTGCGCTGGTGCCGAAAGAGGCGACACTTGCGAAGGGGACTCAGGTGGTCCACTGGTCGCCAATATCACATATCTGGGATACGTATTCCCCTCACAGATTGGGATCACTAGCTTTGGTAGCATACACTGCAACGCTAGTGGCATCTACACGAACGTTACGGTCTTCAGACAATGGATTAAACGTACCATTTTGGCTAACGATTACGATCAGGATCAGGAGCGCTTGTTGGATGAGAACTGCAGCAACACTCGGCGAAAACATGGATCTATTCACCAACCCTGGAAAGTCAATATACGTCCAAGCTATGCTTATGGCGCCCTCCTCACAAAACGTAATTATTTTCAATGGTAAACTTAATACTCGATAACATTTTAATTTTCGTTTTCTAGGCTTTGTTGTCACTATTGCAAGTTATTTGCCCACAAATGTCCAGAATATGTAAGTAAATATGTCAACCGATTTGAAATCATTGATAAGATCTCTTGAGATTTGTATTTAGTATTTAAAAGTTCATTTAAAAAGCTTAGTTCAATTGATTCATATATGTTCGTTGTTAATCTGGTAGAACCTTTGCTGACACTTAAACATTTGCTAACAGTTCTCCAATTTTCATTGATTTTTTTTAAGATTCAAATTTATCCTCCTGTCACTTAAAGTCGTCATAGTTTGCAGAAAGGACGAGAACACAACCATTAACATTTTTGTAAAAACAGGTAGAACATGTAAACAGATAGTCCATGTAATTTAAACTTAAAAAAAAAACATTACTATAAAAAGAATGAATAAGGGTGTTGTTGAAACACCACATTACTTATTTTTTGTATAGCAGTGTACAATTTTTATTATAAAAAAATTGGCTAAACTGACGTTAGCATACTATGTCCTTACTCGTAGAGTAAAAGGGTATATTGTATTCGTGCAAAAGTATGTAACAGCTAGAAGGAAGCGTTTCCGACCCTATAAAGTATATATATTCTTGATCAGGGTCACTAGGCGAGTCGATATAGCCATGTCCGTCTGTCCGTCTGTCCGTCTGTCTGTCTGTCTGTCCGTCCGTATGAACGCTGAGATCTCGGAAACTATAAAAGCTAGAAGATTGGCATTTTGCATGCAGGTTCTAGGAGTTCCTACGCAGCGCAAGTTTGTTTCAAAAAGGTGCCACGCCCCCTTTAACGCCCACAATCGCTTATATACGATTTTAGAAATTTAAATATTTCGGAAAAGTAAAAATGCAGTGTTATTGTGTTTATCAATACCTATCGAAATGTAGAAGAAATTTTTCAAATCGGACCATTCATTAAAAAGTTATGCGTGATCAAAGTTTCTATCTCCGTCTCCATCGCACTTCCTTTACCTGAGTAACGGGTATCTGATAGTCGGGGCACCCGACTATAGCGTTCTCTCTTGTTTTTATTAGAACATATTACATTTTTTATAGTATAGTGCACTATAAGTTGGCTTTCTTCACTTAATTGTTTCCTATCTTTTGCTTTATTTGCGATGTAGTAAAGTAGACGCGATAAACGGTGAGAGTTTTGACGTTAAATCAAGGCACATAAAGAATAATGTAGCTTTGCTAAGACTTAATCGAGATGCTCAATATTCCGGTAAGTACCCTTATTAGGCACAATTTGTTTAAGTTATAACCTTTGTTCCCCTGATTCAGATTTACTTGCGCCGATCTGCTTACTGATAAATCCTGAACAATCCAATCCAACGTCACTTACTGCCATTATCCGTTCTTGGCACGGAACAGGGGACCTAGAACATCAGAGCTTAGACGTCATTGATCGTAGCATGTGCTCTTTCGATCAGTGGATTCGAAATCCAGTAGATAATATTAGAATCTGTGTAAATGACACCTCCACCAATTTAGTACCAAATGGTGAATTATTTGGTACAGTAGAAAAAGTGGGGTTGGACGAGAAGTTCTTTCTCCACGGCATTATGGACTACAGAAAAAACAAAATACTTGTTCTTGAAAATATTCAAACTTACAAAGATTGGATATTAAACATATTAAATATTGATCAATGACAAAAATACTATTGTACGACGTCATGTAATACATAAATAAAAAATGTAACAAATTTGTATAAACTTGCGAGTATATAACATTAACTACATATAACAGGTATTTTATTACGCTACAAAGTAATCTACGTGAATATAAAAAAAAAATACAATCATTTTTTTTTATATTTCAATTTTATTTTTTTTATTACTCCAATATAAAGTAATTTCTACACATTAACAGAAATGTTAAAAAAAACGCGAACGAATATAAAATATTTCTGGCTTAGTATGAAAGTAATAGAAACAGCGGCAAACCTTTCTTGTGATTTTGATTTTTAACTATTTCAGAAATAAGGATATCATTTATATCTAATATAAGTCATTCGTTTTTTAAAAATTGTAACCATTACGGTCAACAAAACATATTACCGATTATTGGTCAGATTTTTGATCACATTTGTAAATGGTCAGAACATCAACGGAATTCTACTATTTGTTAATAAAATATATCAGTAACAGCAACAGAACGTATGAGTAATACTCTTTAAGGCCAATGCTCGATGGTTGAAATTCCATCAATTATTCTGTTTTGGCCTTAAATGCTCATAAAACAACGATTATAGCTGGGAAGAGTTGGTCCTTTATACATACATAGAATTTAAGATTTAAAATAAAATAGGAATAAATTTAAAAAATCAAAACTCTAAATGTAAGTGTGTAAGAACGTTAACAGAGCTCTGTTAGTCAGCCTAATGGGTTGAGTCACTGCTAGGTTTATTTTGGACTCAGAACCATGGATTGCGTCTGCGATATAAATAAAAAATTATATTATTCTGAATTTTAATGTAAAATTTGATTGTAAATAGATTTATGTGGTAGATATAAATTATTTTTTTTAATGGTTCTGCCGTTTTAGCTATAGTATTTATACTGTTATTTGAAAATCACACAACATCGATAGTATCGAAAAACAACTTAAGTGTCAGCTCTAGATCAGGATTACCGTTACTGGTATATTTGATTTGGTATATTTCGGATCAGAAATTGGAGCACTTGTAACAAGAGTCATTATGTAAGCCCTGAAAATGAATGATGCTGAGTGAAAATAGAGTACAGTGCACGAAATAACGTGGCATTTTAGAATTAGCACAATCAAAACTTACCGGGAATGTCACTGAAATCTGTTCAATCCACATCCGGTTGGTATTTTTATGTACATTAATTCAAATTCCAACCGATTTTATTTGCAAGAAATTTTTGTGGCACGTGTATGAAGAATTAATTAAGAATGCTAAGAACTAAATCATTTACATTATTATTAGAACTTATAAATAAAAGTTAAATAAAAATTGTATACCTCAAAAATTAAAACGGTATTAAAAGTATATTATTAGAAGCCAGACGGTATTTTATTTCTAATATTCCACGGTCACACTGAAACCCAAAGAGAATCCAACAGTTTTTCTAAGCAAACGCAGAAATAAATAAATAAATTAAAATGTGACATCGGTAAACTAAATGTTTGCTTAAATACTAAACCAAACGTTTTGTCTTTTCCTAAATCGTGTCAAGTAAATCCGTTAACAACGTGAACAAGACAGAGAAGAGAGAAGTCTAAAAACAATGGATCTGCCGTGAAAATTGATTAAACAAAAACAACTGAGAAGAGAGCGCAAAATGCACAAAATGGTTAAATTATTCCTCAGGTAATTTAATTGCATTCACAACAAAAACAACTACTATAGTGATGCTCTCTTGTTTCCTTTGTTGTTGTTCTGGTTCTCTCTTCTGTTTTTATTATTATGAATGACGTAAGCGTGCCTCTTTGGTGCCTATGCGAAAGCAATAACAACAAATTGGTTTTTGTTGCTTTTACAAACAAGGAAAATAACAGAGTCGTTTCGTTTTTAAGTGTGAGTGAGGTCCGTTCTCCATAATCTAAAAAAGTGGCGTCGTTGGCTTTTTCCCTGGAAAACGTGCTCGCCCCATTAAGAGAAAGGCTAAGAGCGCGCTTATCACTTTGCCCGGCCACTCTTTACAATGTTATTTCTTTTTTTGGTCAATGACCTAAGCTTTTTGTCCGTTAGTTGAATTCGTTTCGTTTGCCAATTTCCGTGTGTTTGTGTGCGAGTTAAAAACTTTAGCATAGTTTCCCATTATTTTTACGCTCTGCTTTCGCGAAGGTTAATTTCACCGTACCGCTTGCCTCTCTTTCTTTTTTTCGACCAACTGAGTAAACAAAGTTAGATCCATAAATATGCTAAAACTATCAGAATTCATTCCGAATAGCTGTTTTAGTTTTCGAAAAAAAATAAAATGTTGTTTTTTTTAACATTTTAACCATTTGGTTTTTCCTAAATAATATCACTTTAAAACCACAAAACTAAAAATGATATGAATAATTATTTAATTATTGTAGGAACATTAAAATCTATATCTTAACGCACATTTAAAAAAGACCAATTTTTACTTGGGTTTTACAGCTGACAATAAAAGTGGTTTTAAAAAATATATACATACATATATAGAAAATACGCTATTTGTTTTTGTGTTTAAAAATGTCATAGCTATAACATCATTTGTCTTTATCATCGACCCATTGAACATCGTAAGTTTAAATCAAAAATTGGGCCCCCTAAATATGGTGTACTAAATACAACTTAAAATATAATCGTTTAAAAAACATTTTAGTTATGCCTTATATTATGGAATAGACCTTTAAATTTAAAATAATTATTGGTATATTATGGAAGAGTGCTTTAAATTTAAAACAATTGTTGGTCGATTAGGACAATGGTTTGGCTTACAAAAGGGCAATCTTTAAAAAAAAAAAAGCTTATATTGATTTATAATAATTGAAAGTATTTTTAAAAATACAATAGTCAGAGTGGTAGAATATAAATGAATCAGACTAGTCTGTCCCGACCTTTATAGTGATTCCTTGCATTTCCTTCTCTTATGCACTCGATCATCCACTTGCCTCGCTATTGTGACACTTTGACAATAATTAAGTTTATGCACTCAATTGCACACGAGTCCGGAAACAAAAACGCACAAAGATGTAACACGGTGATACATTTTTAGCAATAACAACAGCAACCAAATTAATAAACATTTACATTCAAATAACAATGCACTGTTTATAAGTAAGTAAAATAAATATTTTTGTTGTCATACAAAAATGGTACACACAAGCTTGTTTTGTTGCCAAAAGGCGATTACCTAGAATCTGCAAATAAATATTTCAATTTTAGGTTTTCTTTTTTCATTTGTATTCTAATTTTGTTTTATTTTAATCGAAAGTAATTTTTTTATTAATTATTTCGCCCAATGTTAGTATAGATGATACATTTTTAATAGGTCGTCTTAAAAGGAATACAAAAATGTTTATTTAGGGTCGGTTACGCCCCACCCACTCCCAACATA